ACCAGTATTAAGTAATACTTTGGTAGAAATTGTAAGAAACCTAAAATTTACTGCATTCCAATATGTGTTGAACATTGCAAAAAATAGTTTTAAAAATTCCATGACTGAAGAATTTACAACGTTCCTCTTAAAATCTCTAGATTTTTGTTGTTTTACTCATGAATCTGAAAATATAAAAACAAGTATGGTGGAGAGTTCAGTTATATCTGCAATAAGTGAAGTAGCATTAAAATGTTCTGAATCAACATTCCGTACATTTTATCATAAATTAAATGAATGGAAAAATGGTACAAATAATGAAATTCGTGTACTAATCTTTTTTAAATTATTAAACGTCTTATCCAGTGAGCTTAAAGGATTGTATCTTTTATTTGCTGGAAATTTGATACCAACAGCTAATTTGATTTTAACACAATGTAAATCCAGCACTAAAGTTGAAAAAACATTGCTTATTCAATCTATAGTTTCAACGCTATCAAATGTATTCAAGTATGATACAATTAATTTTACTACCAAAGATCGTTTTGAAATAATTATGAACCCACTTGTTAATATTTTGGAAGCTGTAGAATTAGAAGATTACAACAATATATGTCAAAATTATGTAATACCATGTATATCTAATTTAATAGCTGCTGTAACAGATGACACCTTATGGAAGGATATAAATTGTCAGATTATGCTTAAAGCTAGACATCGTTTGCCTGAAGTCAGATCAATATGCATTGATACTACATTAGCTGTGGCAGAGAGATTGGGAGAAAATTACTTACCACTACTACCAGATTCAATACCGTTTTTAGCTGAATTAATGGAAGATGAACAGGAAGACATTGAACGAAAAACTCGAAAAGCAATTCAACAAATGGAAAAATATGTCAATGAGCCCATTGAAAGTTATTTTTGTTAAAACATGTTAACAATTAGTTAAATATATTATTGTAAAAATATTTATTTTTAACTATTCTTCATTTATTGCACAAGCTATAAAGCTTAAAAATAATTCTTAATCTAATATACAAAATAAAATTAATGTCATAACCTCATAACAAATGGGCACATCATAACTACCTAAGATACATAACTCAGCAAGCTATTGAGTATCCACCCCGGTATAATATTGTATTTCCACTTGATAATTAGCTTTTCCTAAATGATTTTTCCTCAAATTTTATTATTACAATATAACAATATTATAAAAACATCCATATGTATAAAATATATATATATATACATTTATATTAATATAATAGTTAAATATTATATTTTGTATAACAAGAACTTTGGTTAATTGTACAATCTTCAACAAAAAGTTTAATACAATAGATTATCTTTAAAACTTGTTGGATTTATTTTCCTTCAATGATTTTTGAAGGTACAAAAAATGCAAATATAATGTAAAATATATAACACTGCATCACTTAATCTGTAATCATATAACATACAATCATAACTAAAGTATCCATTATATTAATAACATTGTATCTACAACCGCAGGCTAATGACTTATCTGTTGAAGCCTTACTTTCAATAAAATAAAAAAATGCATAATATTATATACAACTTTTACTATACATTTGAATAATACATATTTATTACTAGGTGGGCCAGATAAAAATTAATATACAAAAAGAAGAGAAATCTTGAGACTGAAAGACAGTTCAATAAAATAGTTTTATCTTAACCAAAAAAGGRAATTTCCTTGTATAACGCCAACAAATGTCATAACTTGAACAAAAATAATATGGTATTTTGTGGATGAACTACCTATACGTTCAGTGTCGGCCTGGTACTTAAAGGGCCCCGGATGCATTTCTTCAGAAGGGCCCCCAAACATGTTATTTTATAAAATGATAAAAAATGTTTATAAGTAGTGAAATATCTTATTTTTAGTAATATCGGGGCCCCTCGACATAAATAACGCAGGAGACCCCAGATGTGTTCGCGGCCATGGCMAGGCCGACACTGCCTACGTAATATTATCTTGAAATTAATTGATTTATGTCTTACCCTAGATATTATACCTATAATCTACATAATGTAATTATACTTGGTACAGTGTGATTCTTTTTTTAAATATTCACCTTGCMGTATGAATTACATATTTTATGTTATATTACACTGTGTTAAAAATTAAATATTTGAAAATKTTATCAAAAAGTTTTATTTTGCTTTTAATTCCATGGATTATTTTACATGTGGCTTTTTTTTCTGTATACCGATAAAAATATGTGATTCAAAAATCTAGAACATAATAATTTATATTATCGAATGTATTAAAAAATAGATAAGCTTTTTTATAAATTTTGATTTAACTGCTTTTAACCATAAATAAGTTTTCCTTAAATTAATTAGTAGTACTTACATTTATAATGTATTACATTAGATAATAATGAGCTATTTACCAAAAAATTATTTGATATGCGATTGGAAATAATTTGGAATTTTATTCCAAAATTTAGTTTGTTTTACTATTAAATTGGTATTATTTTTTCTACATACATTGTTTTTGTATATTATGGTACCATAGAATCGCGGAAAAAAAGCCCATGGAAAAAAAACCCAAAGAAAAAAGCCCACGGAAAAAAAGTTCTCCGAAAAAATTAAAATATAAAATAAATGTTAATACATCTATATTTAATATAATAATTATTATATAATATTTTTTTATTTTTAATCTAGTTTATACAATCTGTAAATAAAAAAAAAGTTAAATAAGCATAAATGATGTTTTTTTTAAAATTATTATACCAGGTGATTCTTTTTTCATTGAACACTCATTATTTAAAAAAGTATTTACTTTTTTCAAAATATTTTTTTACATAGTTTCAAGTTGTTAAAAAACCAACGTTTTTATTAAAAAATTATATTTTTAAATATTTTTTAAGTTTTTTGAATGACAACATAGAGTTTTAATATCATATTCCAAAGCAGAATATTTTTYTWATTATTTTGATACGTAAAAATCGAATTTTGGACGAGTAGTTTATGAGTTATAAGTATTTTAAGTTTGGACAAGCGGAGTAGTGGATAAACATTTTGCGGGGTAACCMCGTACCACTCCACTCCGCCAATCTAAACTTTAAATACTTATAACTCATAAACTACTCGTCCAAAATTCGATTTTTACGTATCAAAATAATAAGAAAAATATTTAAAAATATAATTTTTTAATAAAAACGTTGGTTTTTAACAACTTGAAACTATGTAAAAAAATATTTTGAAAAAAGTAAATACTTTTTTAAATAATGAGTGTTCAATGATAAAAGAATCACCCCGTATATGTAGTATCTTGAGGGAAGAACCCAGCGAAGGCACTTTGGGAAATTATATAATTATATTAATATAATATAAATATAAGTTTGGAAAATAATACGAGTGTTTGTTATTTGTTCAAGTTTAATCTTATATTACAATGGTTTTATACAAGGGGAATGGAATCACAATACACCCAATTATATTTTATTACACATTTACTGATTATCATACTAGTGAATGAAGTAAGTAAATTGAACTTTGCTTGAACCAGTCAAAATATTAGTTAGGTAATAAAATTTAAATTTATTGAAAAATGACAGGTATTTGTATCCATCCAAATAGGTACTAACAAAATAATAAGTAGTATTCCATTAGTATACACTTGGTTGTTGGCTGTAATTGTTGTACCTACACGTCCTACACCCAAGTTAAGGAGATTATAACGTCAAATAAAGGTTGGTTGTGACAATTATTATTTTTCCGACTATTGCGATTATTATTATGATTATGTTTTATTATCTGTAATATTGTGATATCATCACTTATGACATTTGTTAATGATTATATTTATAGTTAATATTATGTACTGTTTAATCACAAAATAAAATAACTATGTGATTATATTATGATAGGTATTTGAGTTAATCAACAAAACAATATAAAAAACATTTTTATTTTCGTGGGTTTTTTTCCGTGGTCATTTTTTCCGCCTACCGGTACCATAGTATTAAACAAAGTTTAAAGCAAGTTTAATGTTAATTTAATTAATAGTATCTGCTGAATGGTAATATAATATAGCAGGCACCTACTTATATGTTAATGTAGGTATTTTAAAAATAAATATTGGATTGTATAGGTAAAATATAGGAATCTATTGTGTAATTGTGTATGGTGAAGTTAGAGTACCTAGTATACTTATCTATAACTTTCATATAGTACACTTAAATATTCATAATTTTATTTTGAATATTTACTTGGACACATGGTATGCTGTTTTTTGAATCAACGTTTTCAAAGTTCGAAATGCGCTATAAAAAAAAAGAGATGAATAACATGTCCCCCTTAAACGATTAGTCTTTTTTTCTGTCTGGTTATTAATAAGTTTTTTTCTACTGACGCCGCGTACAGCAGTATTGGTGAATGGTTATACAACTGTAGTTTCATATTGACCACGGAATCGTACGTTTCACAAATTCACAATACATTTATGGCCACTGATGCAGTACGTAATTCATTATCGAATGGTATAGCCACAGAATAGAATAGCGCTGAATGCTGATGGAAAATATCGAGTAAAAATAATGGTAAATACTGTATTATGTTATAAATAAAAATAAAATAAATTTCTTGCTCTACACAGAAGTCAGTACTATTGAGTAATGGTTAAATAATTTTCATTACATTTTAAAATGATAATTAGAAAATATCAATACTCAGTAGTCATTATTCTCTAACTACAAATTATATAGTCAATAAGTCAATACTTAGCACAGAATATAGGAATACGTATATATAATAAGTTAAAATTTATATAAGTTTGGGTTTGGGATTTATGTCATATTATGTTATTGTATTTATTATTATTGGTATATTGGTATGTTATTATAATATATTGTACTTAAGCCATCTTTGCCGTTTATCTAAAATAAATAAATACAATATAAATATATACCAACTTATATTTATATTTGTATTCTGTTTTTTGTAGTAATTCATATTATGGAGTATACTGAGTAGTGAGTAATACTCACTGAGTGTCTGAGTATATAATAGACCTTTAGTCTTTCCCTTTACCTTAAGACTTTAAACATTAAACAGTATATAAACTATAAACCATGCAATCATTATTTACGTTGATGGTAGATTAATAACAATTAGATAACCATAACTCGAATTGTGGTTACAACAAGAAAGTTTATATCAGTAAGTTTATCAAGAAAAAATGAAACGACAACCGTTCTACGCATAGATAATATATCTATGGACTATGGTTCTACGTCTATAAACTTTACTGAGCCAAACTACCAAATTTTAATCATGCTCGGCCAACCACTTAGAATTTAGATTAGATATAAGTATTTTAACTATTAAGTACCTTTTTTTAAGTTTAACGTAGCAAAATTTTTAGTCATGCTGTAACTATTAGTATGGTTAAAATATGAATACGTTACAATATTTTCCTAGTCATTATATGTAAGCATTTTTTTTTTTAAATACGGCTGTGCTGAAAACTGATCTCGACTTCTATTATTATGACCAAGCTGTGAGTTATAAAAATGAATAAACAGAATATTTCACCTAAAAAAAAATCGAGCTTGTTAAGTATACTACATTTAAGGAAAAAAAAATCAATAACGTCTGAAATTGATACTTCAAAACAAACATTAGATGGTCCATATCGTAATGTTTCTAATCCACTCAATAGAAGCACAAATGTTTCTTTATGTTGCGCGATTACCGAGACAACAAAGACGCCATCTGATTTCCAAAATGTAGAAAACTCAATCGAACCTGATGTGTGTTCTTGTACAGTGGAACCCAATACTTCTCATAAACGATCTTTGAGTCTGGGCTTACATTCATCAACCAACGGTGTAAATTCAGAATATAAAGCTACTGAATCAAATGAACCATCAACACCTTCTTTGGAAAAATGTGACAGATTACGGAAAATGTTTAGCAATGCACAACATGTGTCTGCTGATAGTATCATTATTCCAAAAACTCCTAGTATGAATACAGCAGATTTTAAGCCAATTCGGCCATCATCTACAACTACTCTAACAGCATCAGAATATTTAAAAAAAACTGAGACTAAAAATAACTCTATGGATAGTTTAGCCAGACAAGCTTTATTTGCGGTACAAGTATTACATCTTATCCCAACCTCTGATGTTAAAGAACGGTAAAACATATATATCTACCTTTATTTTGATATTTATATAAATACTTTCATAGGTAAATGTATTTATTTTATTTTTGTACAGAAACTATTTACATGGGCGTATTGCAGGAAATTCTTTACTTGGAGCTATGGAATTGGAGCGAGTTTTACATAATCGTGAAGTTCGTATATATGTTGGAACATGGAACATGAATGGCCAAGTAAATAAAATTCTTAGTAAAATTAAAATTTTATATAATAATATTAATTTTATAGGCGCCTCCACCTGAACTAAATGAACTATTACTGCCTGACACTGTTCCTCATCTGCCAGATATTCTTGCTATAGGTACCCAAGAAAGTTATCCTGATAAATTTGAATGGGAAGTAAATATTCAAGAAACTATTGGTCCATCACACATTCTTTTTCATTCTGCTTCATTAGGCACATTACATTTAGCTATTTATATTCGAAGGGATTTAATTTGGTTTTGCTCTGGTAATAATTCTTAATTATTTCGATATTTTAAAGAAATGTATGATTATTTATTTTATATTTTATCTTTATTTTTAGTTCCCGAAGAATCAAGTTTTAGCACTCGACCAGGAACTGCATTTCGAACAAAAGGCGCTGTTGCAATTTCGTTTTCTTTATTTGGGTCATCGATATTATTTATAACATCGCATCTTACTGCACATGTAGAAAAAGTTAAAGAACGTTTACAGGATGTGCGTAGAATTATTAAATCCTTGGAACTTCCAAAACTTTTGCCTATTAAACATAAAACAAAAGGTATATGCATTGAATTGTTTAAAGTTAATTAATCAATCATATTAATACAACATTTTTTTAAGATGTTACAAATAATTTTGATTATGTATTTTGGTGYGGAGATCTTAACTTCAGATTAGCCCATTCACGACCTGAAGTCATGAAATGGATAACACAACATAGATTTCCTTTGATTTCACCTATGCATCAAACACTTTCTGATCAACTGAATGACTGTATTTCAAATGGTAAGTCAAGTTATGTTTAGTTAATTAATAATTGTATTTAATTAATATTATTAAGTATAAATTGTCAATTTAATAGTCATAGAATTATGAAGATATTTAATATCAGTAAATTTATAGCCATTATCTATAGTTTTTCCAAATCTAAGACTTAAGAAATTTAAAGCAAATTAAAAAGTTTATATTATTTAACGTAATAAGCCACCCTTGTGAACTCAGCAGTAAAAGATTAGCAGTCAACATTTAAATGTTCTTAACCACGTGTTTGGTATTTGTGACATGGTCTTTGTTTGAAACAGTGTTACATGTATGAGACATGGCCTGATGTATTTCATATGGGATTTATAGACCAATTTATTTTAACAACTATTATATTTTTTTGGTTTAGTTTAATAATCTGTTCAAATTTTGGCCATAAGTTACCATTATTTTGAGTACTTTTTACTATTTTTATATTTTTAGTGGTTTACTGTAGGCCACTCTAATTCCAATTAGTTTTTWTTTTATTTTACATATATTCTTATCATATTAAAAATCTAAAAAATCTATTAAAAGTAGAAAAAGTACCTACCTATTTAAAATATCTCAAATGCCACATAATGTCAATATAAAGAAATGAAAACAATTTATACTGAAAATTGAAAACCAAAAATAACCATTTTCTCAAATGTAGAATGTAAGAAAACAAGCTGTTATAGTTATATGTATCATGTGTAATGAATAGAAAGTTATTCTAGAGAAATAAGTTGTGTTTAATGTGTAAAAAAATCGAATTTAGATGTTAATCTTTAAAATTACCCTTTACAGTTTTAAAACATTTTGATAAACTTGTTTTGCTATTTTCCTTGTATGAGATAGCAATCTTTGATATAACATGTTTAACTAAATATAACTAACATAAAGTAAAATCTGTATTGTAGGTTTGGTATTTCGTGGATTCCAAGAAGGCCCATTAACATTTGCACCAACATATAAGTATGATCCAGGAACTGAAATGTTTGATACATCTGCTAAACAAAGAACACCTTCGTATACAGATAGAATTCTTTTCAAATGTGGGAAACAACAAGTACTACCTAGTCCCACAGGTAAATAATACACACATTTTACAACTTAGTGACATCATAGCTAATACTAGTGAATACTAAAACCCAAATTACACAGATACTATTGTGCATATCCCTGAAGGTTTTTTTAATTACATTAAATTTCATTTTTTCAATGAAAATAAATTATAAACATCTAATTAAATTTTAAGTACAGTCAGTGGCATAATTGTGGAGTGGTTAAAGAGGAATACTTGTCTCCCTGACATTTGATTGTGGTGGGCGTAATAAAAAATATTGGTGTGTTGGCCAGATTAATTAAGTAAATTTTACAAATTCATTTTTCTCGTGTGACTTGCCTTGCCAAAAATATTGAGTCATTCTTACTATTTACAAAAAAATTGCTTTGATAAACCTCTGAATTGATTTATAAAGCATGGTTATACTTCTTCAGTAGATTCATTAGCTTTATTATTGGATTATAAAACAGAGTCTAAACATATTTTGGTAGGTAATGAGGTTTCAGGTTTTTCATCAATTATTAACAATAATCACATYGATTGGAAAATTATGATTCAGAACTTCAATGGTTCTAACTAAGAATAGTTTTCTCCTTCAATAATGTTTAAACATATTTGAAACAGAATTAATCACATTTAAAAATATTATTTATCACCTAAATATTCATTTTTATGAAAATTACAATTAAACAACTACAACAACAATTAAATTACAATTTCATTATATTATATTATGCATTGATGTGGCTACAGTGATGTTATTTGTTGCTGTAGTCCAGTTTCAAAATGCAGCCTAGTGGAGATGGCAAATGTCACTCAGAACTTTACACAACACGCTTTAGCCATAGGCCACTCATAGCGGTCAGTTTTTCAGCCATAACCATTTTTTCAGTTGAATCATATAAATGTGAATGCGTATTAGGCAGTTACATTTAAAATCAAATAATTTGAATTAGTTAGGCGGTTCAACCGCTATGTGTGTCCCTTCTCTTAAGTTTGTAATATAAGATGTCACTTTGTTGTGAATAAAGTCACTAAGCACTCATCAGGCCAATAGATAACTCGTTAAAATAATAATAACCGACAATATGTTTGCGGTAATATGTGCCTGCTGTCATCTATACAAAGAGTTGTCGGAGTGACGGTGCGTAAATGAGAGCAAGCCGATTGCTAGCGGTCGATACTCGTCTAGCACAATTTGTCTACTTTGTGCCTTTGTGGTGTGGTAGAAGAGTCAACTGTGTCGCGTCGTTGGTGCCCCATGATGGTAGTTGGTAAAGAGTATACAAGTTATTATGGTACTTGTACTTTTTACAGGTTTCCATTGCATACTGTGTCAGTTTTATTAGTATTGACTACAAATCAATTTTTAAATCATTTGTCTATTTTTTTAAATCAGTTATTGTTAAATTTTTATTGTATGATAAATCTGTTTTTGCAGGATCCACATGTAATTCATCTAGTATTGAATGTTTAACTTACTGTTCGGTTCCGACAGTATGTACTTCTGACCATAAACCAGTTTGGGGTCTTTATAAGTGTTCAATTCGGCCTGGTATTGATACGTAAGAATTAAAATATATTTGAAAAAGTGTAATTTGTGCATAATTAATATATGAATATATTTCAGTATGCCTTTAGCTGCTGGACAATTTAATCGTGATGTTTATTTAGAAGCAATCAAAAGACGAGCAGCAAGTATGGACAAACGTGTTGGAACCTCTGCTGTTTGTAATGTACAATAATATAAAGCTTATAAGCCTTAAACTAGGCAAAAAGTGATAAAATCTTCTTAAAAGGGTACTATACCTTGTTCCAAATAAGAGCTCACCAAATTTACGTAACAAAGCCGGTTTTGCCCGTGTGCTCTTATTTGGAACAAGGTATATATATTTAGTTTGTAGAATAATATCTAAAGGGGGATCAAATAATAAATAATTTTTATTAATCAAAATTGATTAACTATCAAAAAGTCAAATGACATAATCATATAAATCACGCATTAAAAGACTGCATGTAAAAGGTAAATCGATCAGCTATTTTTAATTTGCTTGACTGTCTATGGTGCTTTCATTTTACTATTGTTTTGTAATTACATTTTTTTGAATTTTTATAGATAACCCTACTAAAGTAATTTTGTCTAGTCAAAGTAAAATCTAAATGTGCAATTTTTAATACCACTTACCATTTATTAGAATCCTTGTCATACTCTTAATTTAATTATTATCTTTTTACTTTACTACACCTAGTTTTAAATCTATTTTTTGTTTAACCACAATTCACACTGTTAAAATTAATGTTTTTTATTTAAATTTATATTGTTATTATTATTATTATTATTATTATTATTATTATTATTATTATTATTATTATTATTATTATTATATCAGTACAGTCAGTTAAAATTCTTATATAATCCTGGTACTACCAAATAAAAGATAATAAATCTATTGAAGTTATAAAAATAACCACTTAAAAAGTATTAATTATTATATACTTTTTTATTGACAGTTAATTTTATAGTTTTATATACTAGTGGGCTATGGCATAGTAACCATATTTATTATTGTAAATATTAATGATAACTACACAGATATTTTCATTATTATTATTATCTATATAAAAAGGTAGACAAAATTGTAATTACTGTGATATTTTATGAAATAGTTCCAGTGTTATGCAAAATTGCATACATTATTAAAATTTCAATTTTTTGTTCATTAGTTTTAGATGTTATTGATGTGATTATAATATTATATTAACAGGTATGGATTTCAGAATTTTATAATAAATGTTTTAATATTATAAGTACTCAACTATTTCTCATTTATTTGTATACCTTTTTTTTGTACCAATATATTTTTTTTTTTAAATTTAGATTTTGCTATTTTGCAATCCTCAATAACTAAGCCTGTTGATTATAATTTATCAATCAAACATACTCTAAAGACAATATTGCAAGTTTTAATCTAAATACTATACATTATTTAATTATAATTTATTATTTTATAAATTTTGATTGATGTTCATATTATGTATATTTTAAATAAATCTTGCTAATCAATGGTAAAAGTGAAAAGTTGGTGAATTACTTTTTCAATTCATAAAAGAGTAATGTCTTTAATCAATGTAGGTGTACCACAAGATAGTGTTCTATCTTCTTTATTATTTAACATACATGTCTCATCAGATCAACCTATATTTGAAAACATCCTTGTTGCCGATTACGCTGACGACAAAGTTATAATTTCAATCCATGAAAATCCTCTAGTCTCTAGTAATCTTCAAGCTCATCTAAGTCTTATTTCATCAAGATACCTACTCCAAATGGAGAATCAAATTGAACCATACCAAGTCAATGTAAACCACCTTCGCTTTAAAACACGGACTTAGCCCTCCAGTCTCAGTGAATATATAAAAAAAAAAAACCTATGCATTCGTCCAATACAGTAAAATATTTATGCCTCACCCTAGACAAAACTACAAAAGATTAATCTGGGATCATCCACACATCAAATTCAAAAGATTAATTTTTTAAACTCCTTCTCGATAGCTCAAAACTAGTCTATCAAAAAATAAATGCACAAGCATAAAAAWTAAACTGCTAATTTACAAAACATTTTTAAAATCAACCTGAACTTAAGGATTTCAATTGTGGGGCTCGGCAATTAAATTGAATTTAAACAAAATCCAAACTTACCAGAATATCACTACGACAACTAACCAATGCTCCGCCATACAAATCTAAAGCTCCGCAATTATTTACATCTTAAAGCGATCGAAAAAGAATGTATATTTTACATGCGTTCTTTCTCACGCCTGGCAAACCATAATAACTCACTAATCATTAACTTAATTACCTTAACGTTTCTCAATAATCCTCGCCGTTGACTACAGAAAAGGAGATGGTGCAGAGATCTTATCCTTTACCTTCACCCCTCGTCATTTCAAGCAATGAATCACTGGTGAGTGACTTCTTAATCACGTAAATCACAATGTATTATTCCTTTTTTACATAAGCCCATATACTTATTGTGCTTTGATTAGTAYAAATTGTATATTTATTTAAAAAATAAAAGAGTGCAACAATATCATAGCTCGGACTTTCTTTCTTCTTTGGCAGCCGTTGTAGTTTTAAATCATTGTCTACTGACTCATATCTCCAAGAACAATTATTTATTTAATGCATATCACCTATTTCATTTCAATTTGGTGAAATAATTTTCATAAAGCTTAATGGATATAAATGCTATAGGTTACAGGTAACTTTCACATAACTTGAAAATGTACTATTATTTGTTTTTATTTTATTATTTCTTTAACATTAGTATTTAGTATCTATATTTAGATGTKTCAAAATGGAAAAATCAAAACTGCATTTTCAAATGAAAATTGTTTATAAAACTTCTAACCGGTGCAATGGTATTGATTTTACAATGATGATAAATGATAATAATATGCATATAGCATGTAAACAATAAAAATTCAAAATAATGATTAATTTTCAGATGGGAAAGTTGAAAAGTGAATCTAGTCTGTGCATTCAGAAGGTTAACATTTAAAATTCTCTGCAGTTTTAAAAAACGCACAAACAAAAAATTACCATAGATATGCAATTTCCACCGAATGTTAATTTTGACACTTTTTATACAACATAAAATTTTCAAAATATTTTGATTCGTTCAACTATTGTCATATGAAATTTTTGATTTAAAAAAATAAAATTAATGCCTTCTGTCTAAGACGTAATACGAGGTTTCTATTAAATTTTGTTAATGGAAATTAGAAAAAAAAGTGGATTGTAAATTCACAAGAATTTGTCTATGAGCGTTTGAAGTTAAAATTTGACAAAATTCATAAAAAAGTAAACGAACATTTGCAAATTATTGTAAATAATTTACATTGTTATAATATTAGTTTGAAAATATATATTAAGCAAGTTTTTTTTATAAATATTTAAAGTCCAAATTTCACAAAATTTATCAAATTGATAAATTGAAAACTTTACAAATTATTTTGTTACCTTACTTAAAATGTATATAATATTCAATTTGTATACCTAAGGATTAAAAATTTAAAGCAAGGTTCTACGTTAGTAGTATATTTTCTAACCAAAAGTCTAAAATATAATATATTGGTACATAAACAGTTTTCTTTTATATAGTTATTTTAAGTTCAAATTTGGCAAAATTACATATTAAAACCAAGAATAATGATTYTAGTTAGGTATTTTGTTGCAATTTAAAAATATTATTTGTGGTTTCTAGAAACTTTAAGGATATACTTACATATATTTTTTTTATTGGTTGCAAAAACAATAATATTTTTTATTATAGAGYTTTTTTTATCATAGACTAATATCAGAGTATAATATTAGTAATATTACTTATTACTTTATTAGTATATGTTAAAATCAGTACCTACTCACAATGAAATTTTCAAATGGAATTTTTTCGACAAAAATACCTAYGGTAATACTATTGTTTTTAATTTAATCACTAACACTTTAATCGTTTAATCACAATATAATGTACAATATATCTACTTTATAATACTACACTGGCGTCATTTGCGATTTGCAAGATGCAAGGGTGTGCAAATGTATCCCATGAATTTATTTATAACACACTTTTTGTGTAGATCCTTTCATAGAATCATAGTATAAAACAAATAACAATAATTTTGGTATTTTTTTTTTATTTATCACAATATTTTGTGGAGCACCACTACGTATAAAAAATATAATATTGTTCACATGTATAATTCAACCATAAACCATAAACCAGATTATTATAATTTATAATATTATATAATCTGTGATACAAATAATAAAATGGTACACAATCATAAGAGCGAAGCGAGCAATTTTGATATTGCTTTAGATTTTCAATATTGGTTTTGCATCCAATGAAAAAATGTGAAATAATACGCCCCTATATAATACTATATTATGCTGAAAGGCCGTCTTCGTCATAGGCACAACTATTGGGGATACTTGGGAGTGCTTCAGCAGCTTTGGTAATTATGGAATTTGCCTTCTTTTGTGAGGTTCTTTTATATTTTATTTTTTGTGATTGATACATCTTAAATGATATTAATAATTGTGATTTAACGCGGTACCTATCACATTATTACCAGTATTATAGAGTCGTCAGACTATAATATATATAAGGTGTTTCACTAAGCATGCTCGCTCATTTTTTTCATTTATTAAAAAATGTATTTAGATTTAGATTTTCAAGRTTTTAAATAAGTTTATAGGTGCACATTTTTTTTTTTTTGTATTTCAGTGGGGATAATATTTTTAAAACGACAACCCCTTCTACTACAAATTATTAAAAGGATAATTTTTCAGAAAATATTGATATATCAAATCAACAAGTAGTTTTGTGAATTATTTTACTTTGTATAGAGTGAGATTAATAAATGTATTTATGAGTCTATTGTCATTTGTCTATGTCCTTTAATATTCAAGAAATAAAATATATCATAATTTGCGATGATACTACAAAATATTAATAAGTGCTTCACATATTATAACTACGGACTAAGATCATATATATTATTATAGTTCGTGCAAATAAATTATAATTTTATAAATTATATATATATATAAATAAGTATTATAAGTTATAATACCACAGACTATAGTCTGTGATAATACATTAATACTTATATATTTAAAATATGTTTAACTGGGATTATGATCTTAATTCTTAGGTACAATAAGAGGTATAACTACGGGCTATATCAGCGGTTCCCAAACTGTGGGGCGCGACCTATGTGGTAAAAAAAACTTTCTTTTTTTTTTAAATCACCAATAATTAGTAATTATAATACATTTATAATGTAAGATTATACATAATTCGGGAATTTTCGGAAAGTCTTTACATTCAGTCATCTAGACGACTAGACAGCGTTATAAGGTTTTAACCTAATATTACCCATCAAATTTTCTACATTGCAGCAGCAGCGTAGCCAGGATTTTTTTCGGGGGGGGGAGGGGGGAGGCTGATCAWTTTTTTACACAGCGGTGCATTAAATACCTATTAGCACGGCCGAAGCTATAGAAAACTAACAAAATAAAGATGACAATTTAAAATTAGTAAAATACAATTTAAGACTTTTTTAGTGAATATTGTAGACCATTGAAATAATTTTTAAATTTTATAAACATTTCGGGGTGGTGGGGGGCTACAGCCCCCTCAGCCCTCCCCCTGGCTACGCCACTGCATTGCAGTATTATATAATCAAAATAAAGAACAAAACTTAATGCT